ACCTGAGCCGAAGTCGGACGGTCAACCAACTGAGCCACCCAGGCACCCAATAATTTTTTAAATATTTACTTTTGAGAGAGAGAGAAAGACAGAGCATGAGCAGGGGAGGGACAGAGAGAGAGGGAGACACAGAATCTGAAGAAGGCTCTGGGCTCTGAGCTGTCAGCACAGAGCCCTAGGCGGGGCTCAAATTCATGAACCCTGAGATCGTGACCTGAGCTGAGGTGGAGTTAGATGCTCAACCGACTGAGCCACCCAGGCACCCCCTCATAGATGCTTTTCTAGGCAAGGGAAGGACCTTGTATATGAATCATCCAACCGGGTATCTTTTTCCAGAAAGGGTAAATCATGGCATTTTTCCAGAAGCACTTCAAGTCTCCAATTCACAGTACAGTGTTTTATTCTAAGCCTTTTTTTCTTTTTCTTTTTTTGCCTGCTGGGCAAAAACCCAGGTAACCTGCTGGGGCCCTCTTTGACATATCAAGGTGGATATTTAATAAATGATCACTTTATCAAATGAGTAACATTTCAGGGCGTCGATGTAATAATGCATCCCGCTGATCTCTTTCTGAGCCAGAAACTGATGAGAAATTCGTCTGTAAGACTTCGATTAATTATAAACCTGACAGTCACAGGATCAAGTGAACGGAGGCCCCCAGAGTCACCCAGGGAACCAAGGGCGGGTCAAGGCCAAGCCAGCTCTGATTGGGCATCAATTCAGCGAGGAGTTTTGCTTTCGGAGTGAACCAGGGCCGCACAGGGGGCGCGCCCGAGAGCCGGAAAACTTCCTGGATAAGCAAATACGGAGATTGCAAAGCGCCAGCCGGTGCAGAGCCGGGTCGAGTCCCGGCGTCCCCGCCCACGAGGCTTGCGGCCTCGGGACAGGTGTCAACCTCCCTGCGCCCGCTTCCCCACCAGCTGAAGCGAGGCGGGGGAGGTCTCGCCAGGTTTGGGGAAGCGACTCTGACCTGGTAGTTGAAACAAGCAAACCACAACCGTCCCGGGTGGGGTCTTCACAGGGCAACACGCGGCTCCCGGTTCTCGTCCCACGGTGGCCTCCCCTAGGGGGCAGACGGGCCGGGAGGCGGTGGCGCCCGCAGGTGGGAGCACCCCGCGGTGCACTCCCCAG